AGCGGTGGTATACGAGTTTATACGAGTTTATGCCTTTTAATATATATTGGTTTCTTCGAATCAACCATATAAGTTGGTATAAGTTGTCCCTGAGCGTAGCATATAACAGTTAAGGCGTTTCTTATACGTATTAGTTACATTCAACAAAATTAAGTTGCAGTTGCAAGCGTCGGTTTTGTTTACATCGCAAATGTTGGAAGAAAATGCCGGTGAAAGGCAAACGAACTTTTCAAAGCGCCACCAACAAATCAAAAGCAACAAAAATAAAGGTGAGGAAAAAAGATACGGAAAACCCACACGGTAAAATAAATACATATCAGTTAATTATTTAAAAACACATTTTTTTTAATACCATAAATAATAGATAAATACAACCTTTTGAGTTATATTTTATGTTAACAGAATATAAAAGGTTTTTTCACACCGAATCGATTACAAATAAATTCCTGAAATGAAAGGTACACCAAATATTTTACAAATTGAATACGTATAAAGGGCTCTGAAAAAAGCTAATAAATGTATTAAAACTGATATTGATTTTGTTTTTCAACTTTTACAAAAGAGGAGATTGACTAAGTAATCAACTGAACTGAAAATAATTAAATTAGCTTTATTTATGGTATGTTTTCTGAATGTATTGAACTTTTGTGTAAAACCGTTCTTTTATTTGGTCTTTGTAAACTTTGTAAACATTTTTTGAGTCCTAAGCTTGTTGCATGCATTATTAATTTTTCCATTACAATCTAGCTTAATTGCCAGATCTCTATCAAACGTTTTTGTCGCTTTTATCAATTACTCTTCTAATATTTTTTTTTATCTGGCTTCTAAGACATGTTATATCTGACTTGCTCTCTGCCTAATGTCCTGGCCCTTCTATATAGAAAAGGACAACAAAGGAACTGGATTAACCCCGTCTCGTTAAGATTTTCTTTGTCTGGCGATGAAATACGATTTCGTTTGTGCTCACAAATTAATTACCCACAGCGAGAACCGAAAATACAGAAATCTTTTTTAAGTCGCACTCGGCAACCACCAAATATTCAAGCACACACACACTCACATTCGCTAGCACATAGACCAAATGAAAATCTGAATAATTCCAAAAGCAAACCGAATGTTTCCAGAAGCATGAGGGTGCGCTGGAGTCAATGGGGCATTTCGGGGTGAAGGACCGGCGGGAGAGGGACGGGGTAAAGGGCCAATAACTTCTCTGTCGACATGAAGTTTAATTCACTGGACGTTAGTTTTGGTTGCACTTGAAACTTTAAACCTGCAACACAGACGAAGTGCACAAAGAGAAAATGGTAGTGGCTTTGCCAAGTTTTGGAGTGGATATAATTTAATGTTACATTTCTGAAGAGTATCATACCTATAGGTTTTCATGTTACCTTAATGAACCCCTGTTAGTTTAAATATATTAATTAAATATTCCCCCTTTTTTAAGTGTACAGTTTTCCTCCCTTCTCCTGCAACCAGCAAATGAGAAGTGCACTTCCGATGCCCAAAGGGGAGAGGCACTGCCGAATGGATCGGGAAAATCATGACCACCCGCAACTTTTTTAGTGAGCCCGCAGAGCGGTAATGAAAATATAGCTCCGTGAGTGCGTGAGGGGGGTTGAGGGGAAGCGGGGAGAGGCAGTGTATTTAACCCAGCAATGCGCCACTTTTCCCACTTTTCCACGTACTCCTTGTGCAGTGAGTCGTGCAACGTTCAACCCGTCAACTCGTTCATCTAAATTTCATTGGCCGCAGGCGGCAAAACTGTAACTGACAACGAGCCAAGACCCGAAATCCAACTCAAAGTGCCACCCCCGCACCTGCCACAAATTTGGGGCTAATTGAAATGTCTGTCTATCCGCCGGATTGCCGGCTTCGCTCCTCCAGCGAACATCAGCCGACCCATCTGTCATCGGGGATCGCTGCAATCGGGCAAAATAAATGCAGCTCAATCAGCGAAAGTTCCAATCAACTTTGGCAGCCATTAGACCAAAATGCTGCCTGCGCCTCTCCACCCACCCGCCTTCCCTCTGGCCAAATATCCTCCTTATTTCGCTGAATAATTAAGCAAAAAGACTGAAGATGAAGAGCCAGAAACTGAAACAGAAACAGAAACAGAACAGAAGCAGAAACGGCAAAAAATGGTAAACAATTAAACATGAATTATGTATTAATAATTTCTTCCACTGCAAATGGGGATGGGAAAACTCTTTTCCGAGGAGGCGCGGGGTTGGTGAATCGGTGGGTGGGGGTTCATCCAACAAAAAAAGTTTCCTCCAAACAAAACCAAACATTGGAAACGATTCCCACGCGCCAAACAATAGTGGGAGAATTTCTGTTTTGCCTCGTAGTTTTATGTTTTCCAGGCATTGGTAATACTACGGCAGCGCCCCAACAGCTTCAATCAAATACTGGCAAAAGGGGGCAAAAATCTTTTGGCCGCATGCGAGATGTATAAAAGCGGCGGAAGAAGAAGCGACCCGAAGAGTGGTAACAGTGGGTTAAATTGAAAGGGTTCAGCAGTTAAAAAACCGTCTTGCAGCCAATAAGAGCCACAAAATATCTGTTTTTACAGAGCTTGAAGAAAATTTTTAAAATATTCTATTAATCAATTTTTTAGAAAGGTATATTTTGGAAAAGAGTAAATTCGTAGGAAGCTTACAAAACCTAGTTTAACTCTTTACTTTCTTAAAAAATTTTTGAGGTATGAAGCTGTTTCAAAACGAGTTTTACAATGCTTTTGTTTTTCTTTAAGAAAAAATAATAAAAGGCAGAGGATTTTGAATAAATAACCCCCATAAAATTGTGTAGGCGACAATATTAGAAAACTTAATCAAAACCGCATGGAAGATTAACATAAAAATGGTATCCATAATAAGGAAGAGGAAACAGATAGGCAATATCGGTCAACTGGGCTTTTATTTATTGCCACATTAATTGAAAGCGTTTTTAGCACTCGCCATTTGCACGAGCGGAGCTTCCACGGCCCATTGTGCTGCGTTTGGAAAAACAAAGAAAAGCCAATTCCCACCCACACACACACACTCACACCAGCAAGCACGCGTGGGAGACACACACACAGTGCAAGTGCATGTGTGTGACGCCATTTTCATAAGCAGCCAAAGAAACAATTTGCTTTTTTCGTTGGCTTCTGTGGCTCTTTAGCCACATATATGGATATATATGGACACATATATTTTTGTTGCCGTCTGGAGCGGCGTCTAAATAAGTTTTTCCGTTTCTTGTTTGCATATTTTAACCAAAAGCAACGCAACTTTAGTATCTGTGTATCTGTATATCTGCACTCGCATCTGTGCATTTGTATCTGCATCTGCTCCTGCCGCTCAGTCCTTTCATATTTATTCGTTTTCATTGCGTTTTCATTGTGGCTCGGGCTTTGGCTTTGGGTCTCATTCGTTTTTAATTAAATGCATAAACCAAAAAGCCCGTTTGCCGTCAAATGTTGGACACAAAAATCATTTTTGCATCCAGCAAAACACAACAAAGAGCCGGCCAAAAGAGCCATAGTTTTATTTTTCATGTACCTTTTATTTTTCCCAGCTCTGGAGACAAATTACTGGGGGAAAAGCGCCTCGGCCCTCCCATTATGAATTGTTTTTAATTGCATTGAATTTGCTTGCGGTGAAAATGCGGCAAATACCCACAAAAATCGAGGCCATCTAGGGAAAAAGGCAACACAAAATAAACAAAAAAATCAAATTGTTAAGTAGGAAACATAAAAAAAATGCGCTCTTGTTGTTGGTGACGTTGATTAAAAACTTTTTGAGACAGTTGACGTTGCAGAAAATTCTCCGAAAAGAGATGAAAAATCCTGTATTTTGGTGTGTGTTTGTGTGTGTGCAGCTGAAGAGGCAACTGTAAAATTAGGTTAGCAAAGGAGTTTTGGGGTCTGTGGTGTGGGTTTTGGGCTATAACGCTGACTATGTGGTCACATGTGCAATTTGATTAAAAACTTGGCTGCCACTAAAAAAAAGTGGAGCCCAAGTGAAGGAAAAAGTGGGCAAAAAATAGGGGAAAATCTCGAAACGAATGTCGTCATGGTTAAGTGGAGACCATGTTTCCGGCAAACATTTGGCTTCTCGACTGAAATGTATTGCGGCCAGGTTAAAAACACGAAAATCACTCCCCATTTCAATTAATGGCTCCGAACCATGACGTGTTCTCAAATAACTAAGGAATACTTTCAATTAAGCTACGATTCCCATTTTCTATTACTGTATAAAGGACCGCTCATTTGAAAAAGTCATGTAGGTCACTTCTACACTAGAATAATAATTTTAATAAACATTGGTAGAGCCAAATATTAAAGACAGAAAAGAAATAAAAAAATCTTTAAAAACATCAATACTGACTAGAAGGTTAATTTTCACTTTTAAATTAACGGGTAAGATTTTTAGAGCACTGAGCTTTTGTCAGAGCCTAAGCGGTTGCTGACTTAGGTAAGCACTCTGCAGCGAAAGATGGCGCCAAATGTAAAATGTAAAATTCATACCAAATGGCTGTCAAAAAAGTGTCGATCAGACCGGATGTCCTTTAAACAAGTCGAGAATATTTCAGTTATTTCATTCACAGTTAACGTGCAGATCGTTTTTTATTTCATCCACTAAAAACCAGAACATGTTTTATATGATATTTGAAAATATCTTTAATTATTAGCATTTCATTTCTGTACAAGAAAAACTGGAAATTTTGTATACACATAATTTCAAACAATTTGAAAACCTTTTTAAAACCGCAAGGACCTCAAAAGTAGCGCAAGAATACCGTTAAACTTTTTGTAAATAAACATGGCCGCCAGGGGATGAGTCAATCGCCGGAGAGCCTGAAATCCGGAAGAGAGAAGGCCGGAGAGAGCACTCACTTGTTATGCGTGGGAGCGTTGCGGAATGCGCGCGCTTTTTGTGATTGTGGAAAGCGGAAAAGCGGAGAAGAGGAAGAGACGACGCAGACAGGAAGCTTTTCCCACAATTGCACAACGTCGGAGCGGTATTATTATTACGCGACAGGCAATCGGTGCGACAACAACAGCAAACTAAGCAACGCATCGCATCGCAGGCGCAACAACAAACTACATATTACAACATATTTACTCGGCGAACGAAGGGGGAGGGGCAGGATATTTTCCGCCCAGCCCGCCAGCCACCCCCAAAAGTGGGTGGCGGAAAAATCGTCGTAGGATCCGCTCCTCCGCGGCCATTCATTCAGTCACGAAATCTCATTCGGTGTGTGAGTGTTGATGAAGTTAGTTGTGAAACGCGGCTCGTCCTGGATAAATCTAAAACCTGAAAAGTGCATCGGGCAGTTAAATTGGGGAAACCAGTGAATCTACTTAGTTTCCTGCTTCAAGAAAAACAAATATATCTAAAAGTGTGCCCCGTGAAAAGAGGCAGAAAGTGTTGAAAACTTCGGGGCTGGCTGCAAAAATCTCCGCTAACATGTTGGTAAGTTGCGGATTCAATTATAATACTTAGTCAGAGAAAACTATCGGTAAATCGGTAAATTGATTTTCCATAAGAGGGCTTTGCAACATTTTCCCAACCGAGTGATTTATTGATTTTTCCGCAATGCGTTGCGTGTGTGTGTGTGTGCGTATCTTTTTCGGTATGCACTTTTTCCAGAGAAACACCCCACTGGGGGCAGCAACCCCCAACTAAAAAGCGCCAACTTCTATTTTTCCATCATCAATACTTCTCACAAACACACGCACACTGAGGAATAAAAACAAATGGTATTGGTGTGTGGAGCAGGCGCTCTATGCAACGGTATAGCAACCCCCAAAACAATGCACAACCCACCCTCTCTTACGCTCGCTCTCTCCCTTTTGCTCTTGCTTTTTGAAGGGTATTACTATCCCGCTCTCACGACAATAGCTCAACTGTTTTGGCATTTGAAAACTAACTGCCGCCCGCCTCCCCCTTTTTGGTTTTCTCGTTTCTGGGTGGGTGGTTGTTTTTCACAGCCGGAGCACATCATAAATTTTGTGTCTATAACAATTTTTGTTATGTTCACCCAACCCCCAACTGGCCCACCACCCCAAAAAACGACCCACACCCCGCATCAAAAAAGTGCAAAGGAATTGGAATTGTGTTGCACTTTCGAGAGTTCAACTTCCGTTCGTTCACTCTCTTTTGCGCTCTAGCCTCTCTGGGAAAATAACGGCACAGGCTTGCGCTCTCTCCGGAAAGAGCGAGCTGCATTTTCGTTTCGATTTTGCGGGGGCTTTTTGCATATGGTTTTTTGGGGTTTCGGTTTTTATGCAACATATGCGACTACACATATAGGTATGTGCATTATATAATTTGTATTTGATTATTTTGCCTTTGACGAATTCCGTTCGTGGAGTGGTGCTTCAAATGGAAACTAAAAATGTGTGGTTTTTTGTTGCCAGGGGCAATATGGTGAAAATTTGTGGGTGGCAAAGTCTGCTGAATGCAAATAACTGCATTTGACTGTTATATATACACATATAAAAGAATATATATTCACACGCACATATTTTATACGTTTATATAATATATGGAAAATGCAATTTGTATGCACTCGAATTGCATTTGCCCGGGATTATGCCTATATAAATAAATTCTATAGTCGGAGTTGGGGGCAATGCCGGCAACGGAATTTTGTTTAATGGCGTCTCCATGGATTATATATAGAGAAATTAGTTGTGTGTTTGAACCAGCTTACATAGACTGACAGCTTAATTGCTTTTTACTTGACGACAAAAATTGATTTAAAGCCAGAGTTTAACGAAGGAAAGCCACTGGAAGCGCCAAGAAATGCAATACACATTGCTTCGATTTGGAAAGTGGAAGCAAGCTTTCTTCCTAGAAGAAATTAATTTCAGGTAAAAGGTACTCAGACAGGAGTAACCCTATGAGCCAAACAAAAAAGGATGTCTCTTTAAACATTATTACCGGAAAATACCTTTACTAAACACAACCTTACACTAAGAAACTCTTCAACGATCTATCGTCTTTAACGCTTGAATTATAATCGATTTTAAAAGTTCTTCGAATTTGTTATTAAACAGCAGTCCAGACTAACGTAACGTCAACTCAGCGTAGCGTTCATTTGATTTTATTCTTAGCCACATACTGACTATTTCCTGTTGACTTCATTTCATTCACACTCCCCACGCCGATGATGATGAAAAAATCACCCAGGGGCCAAGACCCAGTGACTCACCCGACCGCAAGGCAAGCCAAGCGGAGACTGTACCCAACCCAGTACAAAAACGAACCCAGACTCGGGAACACACACATTTACACTACCCACCCACTCAGACAGAGCGGATTGGAGTCGGGAGTTCGGAGGGAGTTGCGCATGCGTGGCCGTCTCCCACGCCCACTCTCCAAGGGGTGACTCTACACAGAGAAAATACATAATCGATCTATAGATCGGTTAGTTCCATTGGGATACTTTATAATTCGTAGAAGTAGAGCAATAAAATATCGTGCCAGTAAATCCCACTATCCGATTTTTTTAAACCAAATATTATAAAAATCCCTTCCCATATACACTAAACATACCAGTACATTTCTCTCTGTGCATATTGGAGTAGTTGGTAGTGTGCGTTTGTTGAGGGTGGGAGATACATAGCCCTGTAGTGGGAACCAGCGATCGCACAACCACCCCGGGGTTCCTATGTTAAATGAGACGTGACAGAGTGCAAGAATTTCGACCCCTTTCAGATGGGCAGGCCGATTTCCTCTTCACAAGTGGCGCCCCAATGGGAAGCCCTATTCCAGCGAGGAGACTTTCTCCCAAAGCGAAGAAGGGCTTCGGCTTCAGGGGCAACAGGTTTCGCTGGCCGTAGGAAGCCATGTGCATGTGCTGCTGTAATTGGCCTGGCTCATTACGGGGATCGTTGGTTATATCACAGCTTGCACCGGTCCAAGGATGGACTAACGGGTCCACCCAGCCCAGCGATCGCTGCCTCCGAAAGAACCTCTCAGGGGGATCCGAGGTGGCCCACATGTTGGCCGGTGACGGCTGCTCGCGAACCGGTTCGAGCTGCCTGTTGAGCTCCTTTATCCGAGATCATCATCATCACCGTCGTCATCATCATCATCATCACCGTCGCAATGGCCAGCCACTTCCACTTGAGTGGCAATGAAGGCAAAGTAGGGTGCTCTGGCTGCTCCATTTCGAGGGTTAACCTGTTTGGAGTTGCCCTACAAATGAGGCATGAGGGTTGCCCAGGAAGAGATTGTTAAGTGATTTATATGATCTTGATTTTTTACGCATTTTCACTTGCTCGCCCAATAAAATCTCCAACTTATCCTCTACATCTAGCTAGTACAGAAACTTTTTAAATAACAGTTTCCATGCATTTCCTTATGGGAGAGCATTGCCAAGCCCATCTAGCCGAACATGTGTTGCGTATCCTCTCCACCTTATGGCACTATATGCATTTTTGCAACCACAGATCGTTGGCGTTGTCTTCCTTTCGCGGGGATATACGAGCGTTTTCGATCAAAATCAGCGTCATCGCAGCTTGTACAAAAAAAAAGAACCTGGCGACGAAGATGCACTAGAGTCCATTGATTGGCTTTAACTTTTAATTTCATTGACTTCATACATATATGTAGTTGTTGTTGCACCGGGATTTCCCATTTATGAGTCATGCATATTTGCATAGCAATTTTACCGGAGATAGTACAAATTTATGGGGCAACCAGTCAAAGGTTGAATGCCAATATTGAACTCAAAATGAAATGCTCCTAAATTCAGCCCACGCCGAATATCGGCGGCTTATGCCCGAATTGATTCACTGATGTATGTACATAGGTGAATGTATGAAAACAGTCAGCCTTCTAAAGGTGGTAGCGGTGTAACTTGTACTTTGCAAAAAACAGAACATTAGTTAATTGAAAGATTTTCTTTTAATAACAATTCAGGTTACGGGGTTTTGACTGTGGCTTCTTTATGTGTTTACCTGGGCCATGTATCGCACGCCCTGCTTCTGGCCATATACCATATACCAAACCCAAAAAAAGCCTCAGCCCCGCTAATGAACGCAACAGTCGCAGTCGCCTCCTCCACCACAGCAACAACAAAAACAACAACATTAATAAAAACAACAACGATAGCAACCCACATGCACGAAGATCATTACCAACCCGAGCGGGGCATAAAAAAAGTAAGCGAACAACAAAAACAACAAAATCAAGTTGCGCCGTCGCAAACTGACCTGGTCCGAAAATTCTACTCCGAACCACCCTACGCTGCGATCCACACTCCCCCTTCCCTCTCTTCATTTTCATTTCCACTCCCACTCTCGCTCTCTGCCGCTATGGCAGCGTTGGACAGTGGGCGACTTCGGGAGAAACATTTTTTAGAATGTTCACATTTCAAAGAAACTCCTGCTATTCCTTTCTTTTTTTTAATTTTATAATAAACTGAACAGAGTAAGGTTGAGAATGTAATATACTTAAGATCTGATAGTTCTTAAAGTTATTCCCCTAAAAGCCTCAATAGCTTTTGATTTTAAAGATCAATGTTAAAAAATAAATTTGATTAAAAAAAAAATTGCGTTGACACCTACTGTCCATCGCTAGTCCGGCGGCCCACACACACAACAACTAAAAGTGGAAGAGAGGGAACAGAAACAACAACAAAAGCATGAATGAGCGGGTGGCTTGCCTTGCCTCTCTGACGGGGGCTCTGCCGATGCTGACGCGCTGCTTGTTTGTTGCAATTTCTCTTTTATGCGATCATTCGTTTGTAAGGTGGCCGCTTGCACAGTGGCTTAAATCTATATATTGACTAATATATTTTTTAAAGCTTAAAAGCATCATCATAAAGCGTAGAGCAATCTATAACGAAATTGACAATTTCAATTCAAATAATAATTTATTGATACATTGTCATATATTCAAGTAATTTTATAACCATTAGGCTAGCCCCACATAATCTGAGTCCATTTGCCCCACTGTGCGCTGCTTTGTGCGTCGGCATGCCGGCCGAGCCAAGCAGAGCTGGGGACATGGCAGCATGCATGGTAGAATAAGTATAAGCTAACGGACTGAATCCGAACGAACTGGCAGCCGATGAGACTACCTTGTAATTACTCTACCATGGGCAATGCCGGCCAAGCCGAGCAGAGCTGGGGCTGTCCCGGACAGTCGGTTGAAATTTCTCGTGGTGTGCGGTTCGATTTTGCTTTTTCTCTGAGAGTCATTTTATTTGAAACACTGCAACGCGTGGTTTTTCTGCGAGTTTTGGCACAACTTCTTATTAAAAATTAAGAAAATACCCGCTGATTGTGCGTGCTTGCATCGAAATGCATATCAGCTGCAATTAAGCAGAAGTGAACAATTTGTGAAAAAAGTGACTGAAATCGAAGCAAATAAACACAAGCCGGCTGCTAGGCAAAAATCGGAAGGCGATGGCCAGAGGGCCCTCTGGAATCAACTAATACTGTAAAACCGCAAAAAGG